ATTACTAACTCGATACGACTCGATCTAAGTTTATATTCGTTCGATAAATGGGTTTAAAGTACGCGAGTCGTCCGTAAATATTTTCGATCGAAACGGCGAAATTTTATTATGTATTTATTATATCGAGGGCAATGTACAACGAACGTTATACAGATTCTTACGACCGCGCTTACTTCAAAAGATAAATCCAGTTTCACGAGCAATACGGGCTAATTTCACGACAGCCATCCTAAGCCGACTATATTGCATCCGCGAAATAATAATAAAGTATAAATGGATCAAGTTTACGGTTCACCGTGCATGCGAGAGCCGCAAGTATGCACTTTATCGGTAGTTCCACGACCTTTATGAGGTTGCCCGCACTATGAGAAAGAATGTGCATCTCTTTACTTTAACCGTACTGCCAATATCTTGAAACTGATTTCAAGAGAAGGGTGAATTTCGTGTTGAAAAAAAAGAAGAAAAAAAAAGTCGACGTCTTCGTCTTCCTTTTTTTCGAGAATGATCCTTGAATTTTAATTTCGCGTGACGTTAGATCACGACGACCCACTAATGGCCCAACGAAAATGTCCCTCCTGACGCAACGTGAAACAGTAGGCGGTCCGGGTAATGCGTCTTGCCACCCTCGGACAGAAAAGCCCGACCACCGTCATCAATCAGGCTCGCATCGCGCCAACTTATGTAGTATTTATTTTCATTAAATATTAGTCACTCACACTACCGGGCTACGTTTCTTTCTTTCCTCAAAGAATATTATATTTTTTCTTTCTCTCTCTGTTTGAAAATTAATCGGCAAGGATTAACCGTAAATATCGAGGAAATAAACAAATCGTATGTAATATTCGTAAATAATAAATTCGACATTGATTGAAATCGAAATTCAATATTACCTTCGTGAAGATATATTACAATTTTTAATCAAGTTGAAACAAGAATATCATCTGTCTATATCGAATATTCAAACTTCCTGACATACTTCTCCCTAATGAATATAGAGAATACAAAAAACATTTTCAATAATCAATTGTTACTTCGTTTTAACCGCTGCATCTCGATTTCTTTCTTCATTAATTTTAATTTCGTTGCTTTTTCAAGCGATCTAGGGAAGGAAAACTTAAAACGGTCTTAAGATGATTTAATTTTTAAAGACGCATCTGTCTGACCACTGGTTATCCGTATCTACTTGCCGCACGCGACACAATCGGAAAATTCGCGATACAATTCTCATCGCGATCGAATGGAAAAGATTAATCACGAAACGTACGAAGAGAACGAGATGAGAGCGATGATAAATTAAGTTTTCATCCGTGGAATCGGTTTATCTCTCGACGGATCGTCTCGAAAGTCTGGAAAGAAAAACGTTATCTCGGTTCGAGGCGATTCCAAGCATTTTTCCGCGAAGCGAGTCGAACTATTCTTCAATGGCGTGCTGAAAGCTACTTCTATATATCTTAGGGTCTTGGGCAGATCCCGCCGCTTGCCTTGATGGCAAGCTCAATTTATATCAGCGTCCGTTGAAACCCCCTTTACGAGGTCTCGCCGCCTCTTCCACCTCTTAAACCTCACCCTAACCTCAGCTCACCCCTGACTCCACTGGCCGAACCTTGCTCCTTCCCACCTTTAGAACTCCCCCTGAGAGCTCGAAAACTCTTTCCTCGGGTTAAACTAAGCTATTCGCGATCGTGAGCCGAAGAAATTCAAAAAGAAAAAAAAAAAAAAAAGAAAATCCAACTTTTAAAGATCTTTAATTAAATATCGCCTTTTTATCGGGCGACGATATCATATTTGTATCAATAAAGATTCAATTTACGAGGGTCGAGTTCTCCAACCAAATTATCGCTTCGCTCGTGAATTCGCGCAGTCTACACGATGAATCCCAAACAAGGGTAATCGTTTATGCAAATTCTTCTGTCAACTTGGTAGGCTGCCGGACTGTCGGATAGGGAAAATGTCCGTGGATAAAAAGCGTAATTAACTACGTATAGGAATATCGTAATGAATTTCGATGCTCGTTTTCTCAACCCAGTTTTCGTATATCGAAAAATTCGAATGCATAAGCGCATTCTCGACCGAGTCTTTTCAATCGTTCGTTCGTTTACATTTTCTATCTCGATCTCAGAAGGCGTTTGTGTTCATTTTCTACAACCTCGACGCGATTCCAGGTGTTTCCTGTGAACAGCTGGCGTAGCGCACGCGCCTCCGCAACGTGTGATGCGGTGATTGATCAATTTTTAAAAAGCAATGTTCCTAATTGACCCACCGTCCCGTCTCGAACTGAGGCATTATGCTCACGAAAGATATCGGTCGAGCAATCTTAGTCATCGAAAGGTGTGTTCTACGATTCGATCCATCCAGTTATATACCTCATCCAGCCAGACCCTTTACCCATTCGTCGCTCTTCCAACAATCGATCGTTCGATTTTAATAATCTGTTAATATTCTATCTACGCACGTTCGATTTATACGTACGGTATATATTTTTTTCTTGATCTCGATATCTTGAGATTTTTGATACAGTTAGATAGCTATTCCATGATTATATTAGGTACAGCACGTATAGAACTATGATACAATCAATTTGACGTTCATTAATAGCGATAGCGTATGATTTTTAAGACACGTGAATTTAATGATCGCTGATCTATCATACTAGGTATGCAATTAGTACGTGAATCATTCGCGCTAACCACCTTTGTCCGCGTGTCATCATAGAGAACGATAGTTTCATTCCTGTCATAGCGCGTTTCGTATCATGATATATGTATAATTAACACAATTTCATAGATATCGGTGATCAACGAAACGTGTGTGCTTTTGCGTAACGTAAACGTAGAACGATGATGATGATGATTATTATTATTAACAATGGTGCAATAGTGTTTTACCGTGATTGAATGAGATCGAAGCAAAAGATGTCGCGTTTATCGCTATATTCGAAAGGCGTTAAATATAAGGATAACGAAGCAAAGTATCGTAATCGTATTTCGCATCCATGCCCGTAAATCCGAAGAATTCGTATTGGTTCCAGATAAAGAGACGACGTTCGTCCAGTTTCGTAACAGTTTACGCGGAAAAGTACGAGGAGGGGCGAGATGTTGCAATCACCGATGACCGATAATGGAAAAGTTGGATCGATTTAGACGTTGTTCGGTGTTCGAAACGATCTCGGTGATCGTCCGGTGCTCAGCGGCCGAAATAATATCGCCGACGAAAGCTCTCGTTTCGCGTACAGTTATTTCGTAACAGGAGTCATTAGCATTCACCTGCGTTAATTAACGGAAGTTCTGGCGCGCGTACATGCGGGATGCATCAGGCATGCGTAAGGGGAGGGCAAGGGGCTGTAGGGGGCTCGTGATAATGCGCGATATATACGACGCACGGTCCCTTGCGCTTTTTCCCTCTTTCGTATCGCCGATGCTCACGTGGCGTGTAACAGCAAATTATCCACGGGCTTTTAGTTGTAGTCGCTGGGCTGTATTTGTAGCGTGAAATCGGCGCAACCACACCCACGGATAAGAAAGAAACCACCGACGACGTGGCAAAGCAGAAGGGATCGGCGCAAAGGGGGAGAAGAGATATTTTGCATATTCTCCGCGTTAGACTTCCTTCAGAGTCGAGAGGGGAGAGAAATCTTTCCGGTTTGAAAACGGTTTGAGGATTCCGGCCGCCTTCTCGTCCCGTGTTACGACAATTATCATGTGTGAGATTTAGATGGATAGTATTATCGTCAAACGGCTGCGCCAATGGGTGATCTATAGACACCGATTCGATCCCAATGCACTTAACACCCATCCAGCTCTAATGCTATTCTCTCGTCACGAGCGTTCATCCTTGAGTTGCAACAGACGTGCCAGATGTTCCTAAGCTTCGTCAAATGAAGCAAGATATTTCGAGAATAATAACATATCGAATATATTACGATATTATCGTCGCGAATCAAATTAGCGAATCGCATTCTATCGAAAATGTTTCTCGAATTCCGAATCTCCTTCGCGAACTACATTCCTATTCCTTATTTCGAGGAATGCACACAGGTAATAGAGTTGCTGCTATTATTATCCCAAATGATAAACAACGTCTTCCAAAGTTGGCGCGAAGCAGTATCTGCGCGATACCTTACCACTTTTCGCCCCGTCCTAAAACTTGCCGCCTCATAATAAACCGCCTTCGTTGGAGAAATCCGGCGATCGCTTTCTCCGGCAATACCTGGAGTACCCTGGACCGTGTAAATCCCATATATCCAATTAGATTCGTATAATCCCTACATGTTAGGGCGGAGGGTGTCTCCACCCCTTCGGGTTGGCCGGCTGTTTCGTTCTCTGTCGCCGGCGAAAGCAGCCTCGGTTGCTCCCGCAGGTAACGCGTTGCTACGTGTGCATCGGAGGCGCAAGCGCGCTCTAATGCTAAAGTACTAATTTATGGCCACATATGAGATGGCTATAGCGCGCTTTACCGTGCCAGGAAAGGGACTGTAGTCCGTGGAACAGGGAGGGGAGGGGTGGTGGCTGGTGGGGATGTAGGACGAGGGTATATCGGAGAGTGGTACAGGGGTGGGCTTTGCATGCGATATCAATAAATCAAGTCCCCGGACCCCGCCAGCTTAGGGGGCCACTACGTGGCCAGAATCAACAGCTCATAACGTCGGCTAATAGCTACTCGCCGTGGGGTCGAAGATATTGTCGTAACGCCCGGGGACATCTTAACGTCTTGCACGCCGAATTTGCTTTCGGCCGGCCGTGAAAGAATCGGCCGCGATTCTGGAGGACGATTCGATCGCATCGCTCGTCCTTTCGAGGAAGGAGCAAGCTTCGTGTCAACTGTGAACAGGGAAGAGGAGAGGTTTGATATTCGTTCGAATTGCCTTTTCCATGATTTTGTTGATAGGTTGTTATTCGAGTTACGTACGTATGAAATGAACGGAGTTTTTCACTTACTTATTTTGTTGATGATGCAATTTCAATTCGTTGATTCGATGAAACGTGATGCGTTTGTGATTCCAGGTGTGGTTTCAAAATCGTCGAGCAAAGTGGAAAAAACGGAAGAAGTGCGGCCCAGTTTTTCGTTCCCCACCGGGTCCATTGCTGCCTTCGCACGGATTACCCCCGTTTGGACCGATGAGCTCCGATCTCTGTGGTGCTGGTATGTTCAGTGGACCCCCTGAAAGATGGACAATGGGAACAGGTTAGTAAAAAGATAATTTTGTATCGTTTGTAACTATATCTTGATAAACGTAAATGATCAACTTTTATGTCCACTTTTACAATTAAGATCGATCGAACGATTCATTTTTATGGTAAAATCTTGCGGAAAAAAAGAAAAGAATGGATCGCGAGTTGATTATTATTAAATTTACTCGCGACAAATTGCCCGATTTTACATTAATTATATATTCGATCGTCTCGCATAATTTTATTATTATTACACACGATTTCACACACGGGGGAGAATACGGTGTCTTAAATAATCAGACAATAGACGAAGTCTCGACAGTTTTATTCCACTTCTAATTTAATCTCGCGTGTCCATTGTTTGGGACAGATTAAATTGTAATCGTATACGTATCGGTTTTACAGGCACGTCATATTTCTTTTCTATCTCTTCATCCTTTCTCTCGATCGACAAATCTTTCGCCGTCCTTTACGATACGAGTCTCGAAATCTGAGCGGACGTCTAATTAAATCCGGTTGTTTCACAGGTCTTGGACAACTGGGACAAGGAGGAATGGGAATGAGTGGTTTTGGCCAAAGTTTAGGACAACTTGGTCAGCAAAGTACGGGGAGCCTCGGCTCGAGCTTGGGTCTTGGTAATTCTGGGCTCCCGATCAGCAGTCCGTCGCAAGCCGTCTATCAAGCCAGTTATGGACTGAATTCCCTTGGTAAGTTAATCTTGTACATGGATTACGCGCAGCCTAATCCTCAAACCAACGAGGATTCTTTCGAAATCGAGATTACAAGCTTCTCGTATAATTTTATCTTAGTGTTGCGTTATCAGTATTATTATTAGAAATTGAACGTAAAGTAAAAACGACCCTTTACGCGATATTATTTCAAGTGTCAAAGAAGAAATCACGGTCACGGTGTTTACGCAACTTTAAACGACGAGTTAACGTTTTACAACTCGTGATCCTATGAGTATCCGTTGAGTATTCCAGGGATAATAAAGTTTTATGCGTTAGTCTTTAAAACGTGATTTAGTCTGGCTTCGATCGGATCTTTTACGAGAGGAATATTTTCTATCTCCGAAAAGAGGCGAAATGTTAACGTGACGGACAAACGCAGACGCTTATAGACGGCCCGATAATCGTCTTGCCAAACTTTTGGACCGTGGCCCTCTAAAAAAGACGATGCGCAAACAGTATCGAACAGAGGTACCCGGTACCTCTTTGACGAAGTCGTTAAACGTTACGGTGCATTATCGTTCCAAGGGGTTATGCGCCTGCATGTAAGGAATTTGAGACAGAAACATAAACTCCGTCCTCTCGTCTGTTTACGCAGGCAAACTTCGAGCCTGGTCTCGCACCTAGGTGCGAGATCTTTCGCTGTATGTTTACCATAACATCCCGATGCAACCTGTCTTGGTTGAGTTACGCTTCAGCTTATCCAAAGACCTTGTACCTTCGGAAGACGAGACGTGTGTGAAATTCTTTGTCTCACGAAATCTTGCCCATCGTACGAGTTCGGTCTTTCTCTCAAATATACGAGTGATACGGCCGAAAGGTTTTAAGAGAACATAGGCGCGAACGATTTGAAGAAATAATGGAAAAGACGAGTCGAACGATTCGACCAGTTCTCCTCTCCACTCGACGTTAGAATGTGATGCGTGGCGATTGGAAGGGAAAGAGGAAGATTTAGGAAATGTACATAAAGAAGTACAAGGATGATCTCTTGTGATCGAAGCTCGTCAAGTGGAATGTTCTAAAAATTCTAAAAGGAAATTGTTAGGGAGGAACGCTATTGGAAATGGTCCGTTCTTCGAACTCGCTGAAGAAATTCTATTATATTCTGTAGAGCGCCTTTTTCGATTGTCCATTTTTATAATTCGCTCAATAATTCATGCTGGAACGTATCATATCGAACGTAGTCGTCACGAAATGTATATTGACAGGTATAAATGGATTAATCCCGACTGATAATGCCTGGATCGTTATTCCCCGAGGTCAACAACTCTTAAGATTAATTTTTTTCAACGCAGACCTTTTTTTTCAATACTCTGCAGAGAAAATTTTGCTATTTCCATAATCCGCTCATTCATAATTACTTCTTCAGCGACACAAAATAACAATTGAAAAGTAGCGTCGTAGTAAATGGCAGTAATATTATATAAATGGATTCGAAAAAAAAGTCGATGAGAAAAAGTTTAAAATCGGATATTTTATAAAAGAAATCTCGTCTATTCCATTTCGCGTTGTGCACTTGCAATATCGTTTTTCTATCCAATATTCCAATAATCAATTTAACAGTTTATTCTATACTTATTCCCGACGCTAGACTAGACTGTTCAAACTGGAGGCACACTCTTTCATCGGACCGGATGAAATTCTTGAAATTGGAAAGATAAGGGGCGTTAAATCGTGTGACGAAATTGCCATTGGACGTAACATAATTTCACAATGTACGCACTTATGTATGAGTAAGTGTACGAAACGCGAACACGTACCTGTGTACATACGTAACACGTACAAGGTGTCAATTATCACGTATTATCGCCGCGGGGCAGGTAGCGTCAACCAAAAGGAGAGGAAAAAAAAAAAATGCCGTTCTACAGGCGTAATTCATCGTCCATGTGATTCGTGTGATCTCGGTTTAAGGTGGATGCCAATACTGTAGTTCGAGCCTGGTCGCAGCCAGTTATCCGCTTTTACTTATCGGTAATGCCTAGGGCAAACACCTTTTAGAGAAACGTCTTATTTTTTCGGTTTTCGATGATGATTAGCATCGAACGATAGCGTGGCCGAAGTTTGCCGGTTTTCAAGTCGATTACGGATCTCTATTTTGTTTATTCTCGTCTACCAACCAGTGGACGAAAGAACACCTTTATAAGGTGTGAATTAACGTGGCCGAAAATGCCCGATTTTCGAGTCACGCGCGACCCCCCGAATTATTTCTGAGGATGTAACAACGAGATACTTCCACGAACAAGATTTGCTTTTTAAATCATTTTTTTTTTTCTCTTTTCTTTTTTTTCTTTATTTCCCGAAGAACGAGGTGAAGAGTTTTTCAATAAGGAGAAATATTCCAGACAGAAATAACCCGACACGTTGTTTGTCAGACTTTTACGAAAATGTAACAAAGATGTTTCGTTATTCCATTCGTTCGAATTGTCGTTCGGGACGATAAAGAAACGTTGTAGAAATCACGTCCTTCGATGCCATTAGCCATTTTTTATTCTTCATCGGTGAAAAGGATGGATGGAAGGTCCTCCGCAAACTTGTACTTCCACCGCGATACAGCCATAAAAGGATCCCTTTTCCCCGTTGTCTCCCCGGCAAGCCCACCACCATCATGGCGCGAGGTGGAAGGCGGAAACGACTTTACGACACCCGGTAGCGCACCCCACGCACTTTGTGAACCTACCGTATTTAATATCTCCTGCGAAGGAAGGGAAACGTTCTCTCGCGCACCTGCGATTATCATACCTGTAAATTGCCTGTGTGTTTTGCTACTTGGTCCCGCGTAACTAACAAATTTTAAACTGACTATTCGACTGGATATAACCGAACAATCTATCTACGCGAAGCTTAACGACGTTCGTTTTTTCCTCTTATTCGTTATACGTGTAAACTTACTTGAATGGAATCGAAAGAAGAGAAGCAAGTTTTTATATATATATATATATATATATATATATACTTCTAATTTCG